GGGGGGGGGGGGGGGGTAGCGGGCAGGCAGGTGGGCGGGGCAGGCAGGCGGGCAGGCAGTGAGGACGTGGAGCGAGCCAGGCAGGCAGAGGGCGCGGCGCGGCGAGGCCAGGAACAAGCAGCAGCTGCCTGTCTGGGCGCCCCCAGGAAGCTGACGAGAGCAGGCGCGGCGGCCGGGGCGCGGCGCCAGGCTGGCAGGCGGGGAGAGACGCGCGCATGCCGGTCAATCGGCAGGCAGGCAGGCAGGCGGGCGGGTGAGGACTGTGCTCCCCCCGCGCATGCCCTACTCCACTCACTCACCCCTTCGTACAGAACTTCCGACAGCTGCTCATCCAGCGCCTCGGTGCGCGCCACCAGGCTGGGGTCCGCGCTGCCCTCGGCCGCCGCTTTCTGCTGCAGGATGATCCTGCGGCGGCGAGGGGGCGGGGGCGGGAGCGGGGAGGGGGAGCAGACGGCGAGGCGGGCACGGGGGTGAGAGAGGGGCGGCGCCGGGCGTCGGGGAGGCAGGCTGCGACGGGCCGGGAGGCGGCGGGCCGCGTCCGAGGGCGCGGCGGCGGGCCGCGGGCGTTACGGCGGGAGCCAACTCACTCGAGGCGCTGCGCGATGCTCTTCCAGTTCTGCTTGAGCACCTCGGGCGGCGTCTTCTTCAGCTCCGCGATCTGGCTGAGGGTGAGGCCCGTCAGCGGGCAGCCGCCGCCCTTCTTGCCGCCCTGCTTGCCGCCCTTGTGCGCCCCCGCCTGCTGCAGGGCCTGCGAGGGGGGGCGGGCGCCCGCGGGCGCTGCCGCCTGCTCGCAGGTGCACGCCTCGGGGGTGGAGCAGCCGCAGGGCAGCGCCTGCGTCGCCTCGCCCGCCGCCTGCCGCTCCTCCTCGTCCGCCGCCTGCAGAGGAGGCAACCACCACGGCGAGCAGGGGTTGGGCCGGGTGTGACGCTGCGACGCGAAAACACACAGCCGCCAAGGAGGCGCACAAGCCCAAACAAACCGGCGGGAAGAAAGTCTACCACAAGCCCCAGCGCAGGAGGCAGGCGCGAACTGAGCTGGGCGGAGCCCCCGGGGGGGCGGGCAAGGGCAGGCGTGGGCGTGGAGGTTTGGGGCCGCACCTTGCCCGCCTGCAGCACCTCCATCGCACTCTCCCGCACGTTCAGCACCTTCTGCATGGCGGCGTGCTGCTCCTGCAGGGGCCGGGGCGGCGGGGAGGGAGCCGGCGGGGTCAAGGGGCGGGCGGGAGCGGGAGTGGCAGCTGCACACACCCTCCTCGGCGCGCCGCTGCCGGCAGGGCCGAGCGCCGAGCTCTGCCTCCGCCCGGGCCGCACCGCAGCCGCCGCCTCCGCCTCCATGCACCAGCCCGGCCGGCAGCCCAGCCCGGCCGGCAGCCCAGCCGGCAGCCCAAGCCCATCGCCGCGCCCCCTCACCTGCAGCCGGGCATTCTCGAGGCGCATGCGCTCCAGCTGCACCGCTGTGTCGTTGAACTCCTGCTCCGCAGCCACCGCCTTTTGCTTCTGCTTCTCGCGGTAGCGGTTCTGGGCGCGCCTGCAGCCGAGAGGGGCGAGGGCGCATGGGCCGGCGTGTGGGCGGGTGTGTGGGCGTGTTGTTCTGAGGCGCGGCGCGCCGTTGGTGTCGTGTAGGGGTGAGCATGCGGCAGATGGGCGCGCGTGCAGAGGCGTCCCTGCGCCCAAAAAAAAACACCCGAGTGCCGCTGCCAGCAGCAGGCCGCAACAGCAGGGAGGGGAGGGCGGCAGCAGGGAGCGGAGGGCGGCGGCAGGGAGCGGAGGGCAGCCCCCACCTGTTCTTGGCCTTGATCCGCTCCTTCTGCGCCTCGCTGAGCTCCTTCTTGCCGCCCGCGCCGCGCCCCTTGCGCGGCGCCGACGTGGGCGCGGCGTCGCCGCTGCTGGTTGGCGCCGCCAGCCCGTAGTGCGCGCTGCCGTCGCCGCTGCCGTCGCCGCTGCTGGCTTGCATGGGGGGCGGGATGAAGGTGTCGCCGCCCAGGGGCGGCATGGGCACAAAGTCTGCCATGGACCCCATGAAGGGATCCAGAAACATGTCTGGCAGGGCTGCCGGCAGGGCTGCGGGGCAGGGGCAGGGCGAGGGAGGGCGGCAACAAGCAGCGCAGTGGGTGGTGGTGGGTGGGGGGAGGGCAGACACAGCGGCGGCCGGCTGTCCCGCCTGCATCTCTGCGCGGAAAGAGGCGCCGGTGCGGCCCGCGGGCCTCCCGGATCCCTGCCATGCGGTGCAGGAGGGGCAGCTGGCCGCCCGCTCCGTGCACCCAAGACAGGGGCCTTGCAAGGGCTGGAAACAAGCTGCTGCCGGCCAGCAGAGGCGGGTGCCTCACCTGACGTGTCAGCACCAGGGCTGGTCATGCCAAACGCTGCCGCGGGTGCGCCAGCCAGCGGGGCGCCGCTCCCTGCAGGCGCACGCGAGCGGGGTCAGGTACTCTCCACTACCGGCTGCCGGGGGCCACAGGCCAGGGCGAGACCGCCAGCTGTGGTGGCGGCAGCCCGTGGCGGCAGCAGGGGGTGGCGGCGCGGCACTGGCTCGCCTGCGGGGCTCGGGTCCAGCAGCCACTCTGCGGAGGGTTGGTCCATGAGAGGGTAGGGCACCTCGTCTAGCGGCTTGAGGCCCTCCATGAGCAGGGCCTCCAGCTCCCTGCTCCCGAGTGGGGGCAGGTCGTCAAGTGCCATCCCGGTCGCCTCCAGATCGTTCGGGGAAGTCGGTGAGCACGCAAAAACCGGCAGCGGGGTTCTCGAAGCGCCGACAGCGGGAGGTGGAGCCCCACGTTCAGGACTTGCGGAGGCAAACGGGCACACGGGCGCACCGGCGCTGCAATTGCTGCTTCTGAAACGCGTGGGGCTCAAAACGAAGCTGCGCTGCGCACCATGCTGCGGAAGAATAACCTGTTACATCATCCCCGACCAAAACACCCAGCAGCTCCCGACAGAACCCGTTTCAGGGTGTCCCCCGTAGTTTGGGCCATTAATGGACCTGTGGGATCGATCGGGGGCGACGTGAGGCAGCTGCTCCCTCTTTCATGGGGGGTGGAGAGCCAGCGCGAAGCCAGCTTGCGCCTGCTTGTGCTCTGCCTGGCTGGCATGGAAAGAAGAGACATGTGCCCTCCATTCCGGGATCGGCTTGGGCATAACCGAGAGGTGGCAGTACCAAGAACCCTCCTGGTGACCTGGCGGCCTGGGAGCGTGAGCGCAAGAGTGAGTTGTATAGCTTTGGTGCTCCACGCTGTTAGCGCCGCCATGCTTCTGGCACCTGCACAGACCGCCGCCTCAGCGCCACGCCCTGCCTGCAGAGCTCCCCGCCGCCGCCTTGGACCGACCGACCCCCGTCCGCCCTCCCCTCTTCCACGATTGAGGGCTGAAGGATGCTGCTGACGCCCTGGGCTCGCTTCTGCGACGCCTCCCTGGAGGCTGAGTACCAGCAGGAGAAGCGGCAGCGCCTGGCGCAGGCAGACAGTGAGTCGGGGCGGCGTGGGGGGCAGCGCGGGGGGAGCTGCCCTCGAGGGGCGGCGCATGCATGGTGTGGCGCCAGCCTCGCCTCCCGTCCACGGCAGGCTGGGAAACGGGACGTCTCGCCGCCAAGCACGCACGCTCCTCCCCGTGCAGTGCGCAGCGCCGTCGCCTTTGTGCTGCTGTGGGCTTACGACGTGTGGCGGTGAGCTGCTCCCGCGCTGGCTGCCGGCCTTCCTGGCGCACGTGCCACACCCACTCAGCAGCTCTGCCGCCCCTCCGCTTGCCGCTGCTCCTCCACCTCTGCCACATGGCGCGCCTCTGCCACATGACGCACCAGAAGCCTGCTCACCGCAGCCTGCCACGGCGCTGCGTGACACCGAAATCCCTGTGCAGCATGCCTGCGACGCTGCGGCCGCTCACGTGCTGCCCTGTACCACCTGCCTGCCCGCCCCGCAGCTTCCTGGGCGCCACCCCGCTGGCGCTGCTGCAGGCCAGCGTGTGGATGGCGGCGGTGGGGCTGAAGCCGGTGTACGTGATGCTGGTGGCGGGCAAGGAGTTCTACCTGCAGTACAGGTGCGAGGTGGGAGCAGTACAGGGCAGCGACATGCAGGCGGTACGTGCAGGCGGTACGTGCGGGCCGTACAGGCCAGCACGGGCGGGGAGGAGGCAGCGATCCAGGCCCAGGTCTCCTCCCTCCCCGTGCTCCCATCATCTGCTCTGGGCCCACCCGCACGCTGCACCCCCACCCCTGCCCGCCTGCACTCCCTTCCATCCCTTCCCATCCATACGGCGCACGCGATGCCTGCCGAGGTGCACCCCCGCTGGCCCTGCCTGTGCCCACCTGCGCAGGGCCTGGATCATCAGCTTCACCAAGGTCGTGTTTGCGGTGCACCCGCCCGGAGAGGGGCTGCACCTGGTGCAGATGGCCAGGCGGGGCCAGGTGGGGGCCGCCGCACATTTCGAACATTTCCTGTGTGTGCCGGGGTGTTTGGGAGAGCGCTCGCTTGCTGCAGGCTGCCCCCTGCTGCACGCAGCACTGGCCGCGCAGCGCGTGCCCAGCCGGCCCCACGTGCGCTGCCCCGTGCGTGCCTGGCCGGCGCGCTCGCAGGCGCTCGGCGGCGGCGCCGCCGCGCCGGGGCTTGTAGGCGTGCTGTGGGAGCTTGCCAACGGCCTGCGCCTGCCTTACATGCTGGTCACCGGCCTGGGCTGGTGCGACTTTTTCTTTACCATTCCAGTGCAGGTGAGGGGCAGCAGGGCGGTGGTGGTACTGTGCGCATTGCATGGGTGGTGCATGGTGGTGACAGCAGGGCAGCACGGCACACACCCAGAGGCAGGCTGCAGTGCCACGCCGGGGGCGCCAGCTGGCGACGTGCGAATCGCGTCCGGCTGCACGCCGTGCCCCTGCCGTGCCCCCTGCGTGCGCTGGCTGCGCCATGCGACCGATGATCGGCAGCGCGGCGCTGGTGCGTGCAGCTGGCGCTGGTGGGGCGCGCCATCCGAGACAACCAGGCCCAGTGTGCCGCCCCTTTCTTCTGCAACCCACAGGCATGGTCCACACGCCGGCCCCGCCAGCGCTGCTCACAGCCTGCCGCACAAAAGAAAGAAAGGGGAGGGGTCTGCTGTGGAGGTGCCCCTGTAGCTTCAGTTCAAGAGGGCCCTGCACCATGCACCGCATGCTGCTGCACCCCCTGCTCATGCTGGTCCGCAGGTGCAGGCGCTGCTGAGGGGGCTGGCCGACCGGCTGGCCTCCCTGCTGTCCACCTCGCTCTCTGTGGGCGCCGGCATCAAGGGGCAGCAGGTGCGGCGCGGCGCGGCGCCAAGTGGCGCCAGGTGGCGTGAGCCGGAGCCGTCTTGCTTGATTGACAGGGAACACCCAGGCCGCACAAGCGGGCGGGCGCAAACAAGTGGTGGCTCCATGCTTTGTATAATAGCTGCTTTGTATATAATAGCTGCAGCTCCATGCTTGGTTTAATTGTACTCCCACCTGGTGGGCAAGTGCAGGCCACCTTCCCCGCCGGCCTGGACCCGTGCCGCGCGCTGGGCGCCTGGGCCGCCGTCTGCTTTGGCTTCCTGCTCACCACGCTGGCCCTGGCCACCAGCGAGCGCGCCGCCCGAGCCAGGTGGGACAGCTGGCACCTGGTGACCCCGCAAACCGCCGCCGCATTCGGCACTCGTGTCAGCAGCTGCGCAGCTCAGCAATGCAGTACACCACGGCGCAGGCCAGCCAGCCGGTTGCATACAGCAGGCATGTGTGCCTGCCTGCGCCTCACACGTGTCTCCCACCGGTGTTGGCCTTCGCAGCTTTGCGCGCCGCCACGCCGCCCGCCTGACTGAGGGCGAGCGCGAGGTGTGGGGCCCCAGCAGCGGTGGCGGCGGCTGGGCCCCTTGGGCGCTCTTCTCCTACATCTGCCTGCTCACCTGGCAGGTGGGCCAGCAGCGCATCAAACCGGCCCTGACGTAGCAGAAGCAGCAGCAGCAGCAGCGAGCCCACGCATGACAGGCCGCATTTGGGGGACGCTCTTGAGGCGGCACCCGCTGTTCTTTGCAGGCCGTGGTTGCTGCCTACGTGTGGGCTGAGGGCGAGGGCATGGGGGGGTTGGACGGGTATGCTGGCGGCGGCGGCGGCGCCAACGCCTCGGCCTCCTCCTGAGCGGCATTGGCATGTCAGTCTGGAAAGTTGCCAGCAGCAATTCTGAAGCACTTCATCTCGGATAGCCACAAAATCTGCACCTGCCTGTTTGTTCGCCCTGACCTTTGCAATTGAGACCCTGCGTGTTGAAACCTGCTCCTGCGCATGCCTTGGGCGGCAGGGCTGCGCATGCCAAGGTGGCGGCGGCCTGCCAGCCTCAGCGCTGCACCAGGTGGTGGAATCTCCGGCACGGTTTACAAGCAGGGCGTGTCAACAGGGATAATGGCGAGCAACGGTCGCAGCATGCGTGGTGAAAACAATGGGCAGGCAGATGCAGGACAGCCCCCCAGGACCTCGCTCGTGGCCAGTCAGCCTGCAGCCGCGGCTGCTGGGAGCCGTGGGGTCCGGGCTCAGTACTGGCGAGGCAGAGGTGGCCGCAGAGGGGGGAAGAGGCGGCTACTTGCGGGCAGGGGCGGGTGAGGGCGCATGCGCGTGGTGGAAGTCCACCTCTGGCAGGGGCACCAGCTTGTTGCCGCCGCCCACCGTCGCGTTCTTGGCCAGTCCAGCGATCTTCTCAATCTTGCACTCCTGGAGCGGCAAAATGCAGGCAGGGTACAAGGCAGCAAGCTCAGCCGCGCATCGGAACGATGGAGGCAGAGGGGGGAGGGGGGCAGAGCGCAGGCGCCGGGTGGCTGCTCGGCTGCGGGAGGCGGGCGGGCACTGCCGGGCGCCCTACCTTGCCCTTCCACTCCGCGGCGCTGATGTACTTGTGGGTGCAGCTGCCGGGGGTCTTGGTCAGCACCAGCTTGGCGGGCTCGCACACCACCTGCACCACCCACGCGCAGGGGAGAGCATGGGGAGGGGAGGGGGCCGGGGCGTCCGCTGTGCGACACGCGACAAGCAAGCGAGGGGCGGCGAAGCGTGCAAGGGGCTAGCGGCATGGCTGCAGCTCCGAGCTGCTCCTGTGCGCTCTCCCTGGCGCAGCGGGGCTCTCACCTGCTTGGTGGCGGCCTGCAGGACGCACACCTTGGGCTGCAGGGAGATGGTGACGGTGGGGCCGGAGCAGGAGGCGGGCACCTTGGCGGTGGGCTTGAAGCTGCGGAGGGCGGGGGAGGCAGGAGACGCGGGCAACGGTGGTGGCGAGGCGCTGCGCATGCACGGGGCACCAGGCCGGACTGCTGGCAGCAGGCAAGCCGGGCAGCGAGGCGGGCGCGGGCTGGGTGCGTGCCCACCTCTCGGGCGTGCAGAAGGCTGCCTCCACCGCCGCCAGGCTCTCGTGCAGGTCTGCAGCCGAGCGGATGTCGGTGAGGTTGCGCAGGTCGTGGTTCATCAGAAAGTCGCCCAGGTTGCTGGAGTACTCTGCGCCAGAGGGCAGGGAGGGGAGGAGGGAGGGCAGACGAGCGGGCGAGGAGGTTGGCACAGGTGGGAGAGTGATGCGGCGCGGGTGGGCGAGTGGATGAGCGGTGGCTTTCTTTTCTGGCTCACCAAACTCGCCCAGGCTGGACCAGTCGAAGGAGGGCAGGGACCAGTTCTCGGGCACCAGGCTCTGCCAGCCCTCGCCCAGCATGCCGGACAGGAACGAGTGCAGCGAACCCTGCGGCAGCGGTGGCGGCGGCAGCAGAAGGATGGATGCTGCTGAGAGCGGCGCATGGTGCTGGCGGCCTACCCGAAGGTGAGGCACGCATTCCCTGGGGCGCCAGGTTCAGGGGGAGGGAGGCGAGCTGGCCAGGCAGCACCCCATGCCCCTGCCTCGGGCCCGTCGCCTTGCCTCGCCGCCGAGGGTGAGCAGCCGGCGCTTGGTGGAGGCCGCGCCATCGAAGCTCTCGCTGAGGTCTTGGATGAACTGCATCAGCACGTTCTCCACGTCCTTGTTCGAGAAGGAGGCCTTCTGCGCCTGCACGGAAGCCCCGAGGGCCAGGACGACCACGAGCACACCAGCGAAACGCATGGCTGCGGGAACTCTACGAGAGGGTTGGGAGTGATTGGAGTACGGGGCGGAAGTCCGCTGGCGCGTGGTTTGGAAATGTCAGCCCACGCTGCGCATGTGTTGCCCGCTGATGTGGCACCTCCCGATTGGGCAACCCCCGCCCCCGCTCCCTCCTGGCAGCCCGCGCGGCGCTCCCCTCCCATACGTGAACTGACCCCATATAGCCCTGTTTGAGGGTTGAGCGGGGCGGAGCGGGGCTGCTTGCACACGTGATGGCATGCACGCTTCAACGCTCCCGCTGTCATCTCACCTCTCTAGCGTCAGAAATACAACTCTTACAAGCCAACCAACACGAACAGAGAGACCGAACAACAGAAATGAACAGGAAATATGAAGCCGCCACAGGCGGCAGCACCTTCCAGCGGAGACGGCAAAGCGTACAAGGCACACTTTTTCAATGGTTCTTGCAATTGCCACCCTTACCGGTTATACAGCCACAGTGCCGCCCACACCGCTGAAGCCAGTCGCCCGCTCGTGGTGCTCCTTGATCACTCGGGGCAGCTCCTCGAGCGGCACCACGGGGCACCACCGCCACTCTCCGCTGCGCTTGACGCAGCGGCACAGGATGTCCTGACCGCCAGCGCCCTTCAGCACCTGGAAGAACTGCAGCACCTTCTTGCTGTAGTTCTTGGTGCCGCCCTGCACTGCCGCCCCCCCTCCCGCACCCCGCCGCCGC